TCCCAAACCCGCCAAGGGCTGAGTGGAGCCCTGGAGCATGATGGGAAAGTGGACAATGCCCCATAATGCTTCACCTCCCCACCAGTATGGAGTTGCAGCCAGGGAGAGGCCTGGTGCCTCCAAAGCAGGCGAGAAAATAAGGCAGCCTGTCTGGGGACAGGTTTGGCTGGCAGAGCCCTCAAGCCACAGAGGGGCATGTCTTGAGGTCTTTGGTTTTCTGGACTCTCCAACGCCCCACCTCTGGGTTTCTGGCGCCAGGGTCTCCCAGGGCCCTTCTGTGGATCCACCTTCATGTCCCTGTAGCCTCCAGAGCTCTAGGGTATTAGGAGGCCCCATCCCATGCCAGGTGTACTTTAGGGAGGTCCCAGGGCTGGCAGGGTAGTGTGGGTATGATGGGGGAGGTGGGGAGAAAGAATAGGAAAGGGCTCGTGCGGGAGCTCAGGGGAAGAGGAAGAGGAGCCATCCCAGGAAGGAGCATCCAGGGCTCACGCTAATGTGGCCATGCACTAACCTTGGGGAGAAACTTGGATTTGAAGGGGTGAGCAGTGTCAAAGAGTAGATTTCACATGGAGATGGCCTCCCAGGTCAAGGGGATTGGCCGTGGGGAACAGGTGTGTGTGTGTGTGTCTGTGTGTGTGTAAAAGAGAGAGATAGAGAAAGATAGCAAAGGAAGATTTGGACAGGACTGGATGGTGAGCTCCTGGAGGGCAGAGACTGTGTCTTTGTCACTGTTGTTTTCCGAGAGCCTAACATTGTACCTGGCACATAGTAGATCCTGTCAGATGAATGGATGGGTGAGGCCTGTCCTTTCATTGGGGTTAAGATCTGTCGACTCTTCTCTTCCATAGCTGCACGCAGACTCTTCATTCTGCCTCAGGACTTGCTGAAAAGTTCTGACCATCCCCGGACAGTTCTTGAATGGGCACTTCACCAGCTGCCTGTGTCAAGGACCTTGGCAGAACTCGGTGCTACAGTTGGAACAGCGCCACCTTGTGGTGCCTCTTGGGAGAGCTCCTGCGAGACCCCAGCAAAGGAAACCGGGTCATTCCTCCCAGCAGGGGGATGGGGGCAGGGGGTGGTCACATCAGGCAGCAGCCACCCCTCCCCCTATATGTTGACCCTGAATTGCTGTGCCAGTGTTCCTGTGACACAGTTTTATCATTTGTTCCTTCCTTCTGCCAGCATTTGCTGAGAACCTGCTCCAGGCCAAGCTTGTAGGTGATATGGAGCTAAATCAAAGGCGCTACTCTTGAGTAACTCATGTTCCAGTGGGGAATTCTACAAAAACTCTCTGCCCCTCACCTCTCCATCAATTCCTCTCACTAAAGCTCAAACGTTTTATCCTTGCTTCCCAGGGACACTTCATGATCTGTCTCCCACACATCATTCCAGGATTCCATCCCTCTGCAGCTCTGCCTTCCCCAGTGCCTTTGCTCCCAGTGAAATCTGTGTGCGTTTCCACCTCTCTACCTTCACCCACACCCTGGAATGAACCTCTTCCCCATCTCCCGCTGCTGAAATCCACCTTAAAGCTTCCTTCCTCTTGGAGCTCTTCTAATTTCCCTTGGCAAAGTGGCCCCGCCTCCTGAAGCACCTCCTTGGCAGGGCTTTCATTAACAGCACATACTGGCTGTTCCATGGGTGGTGATCTGTGTATGTTATTCATGTTCCTATTGGCTTCTAGATTTCTGAGGACATGGACTCTGTGTTTTGTTCATCTTGGCATCTCTTGCAACACTGAGCTAGGCACATCATATGCCCTCATTAAGATAGATGGACGGATGGATAGATGAATGAATGGATAGATGGATAAATGGATGGAAGGATGACAGATGAGTTTGGTGGATGAATGGATAAATGGATGCGTGGGATGTATAGATGGACGTGTGCATTCACGGATACATGAATGAATGAACAAAAGGATGGATGCATGCATGCATAGATAGATGGATGGAGGAAGCAAGTCTTCTCTAAAAAAGATTCACAAAAGGCTATGTAGTACCAGGGGCTTCAAGGGAGGGAGGCTACCCCATGCCAGGACACACAGAGGAGAGAAGAGTGTCCAGGCCGAGACTTCCTTCACTAACAGGTGCACCCTCAGTGACTGGTCTCCCAGAGGCCTGGGTATATTCTGACTCCCCAGTAGTTATAGTTTGGGAGCTGTTCCTTCCGTCATGCTCACGTAGACCCTCTGGAATGTCTTCATCAGCATATATTATATTGTACCGCCTGCACGGTGATGACTCTGTAGTTTCCTCTTCCACATCCCGTACCCTGTCTCACACACACCCTAGATTTGTGAGCTCCCTGAAGATAGGTAACATGTCTGAGTCTCTTGTGTGTCCCTAGGGCCTGGCATACAGGTTTAATGGGTGTGTGAACAAATGAATAACTGAGTGAATGCTGACTCTCTTCCCCACAGACACATTTTGCACACTACCACTACTATTCATGTTCAGCCATCTTTGCTTGTCCTCTCCTCCTCACACACTTCCACACACGCCAGAGTTATGGCCTGGTTCTTCGTGTCATTACCCATTTGTGGCTGATCTAGGGAAGTCCCAGGGCTCTCCTGAAAGTCTGAAGGGGGAGGGGGCTCTTAGCTCCTATAAGGTCATATTAACTGGGACCCGTTCAGAAAAGGGCTTCCCTGAGAAGAACCTGGCTATTGGGAGGGTAGGAGCATCCTGTGCTAACCTGAGGGCTTCTGCCCCTACCTGACCACACCCTCCAGCTTTGCCTTTCCCTACTCCTGACCTGTGAGGCTGTCCCAAGGTGGGGGTGGGAGGAGAGAGGTAGTTGTGGCCTCTGTCTTGAGGCTGGCTGGCTGGCAGACACAGCCAGATTTAGAAGTCATTTTCACAGCAGGGAGTCTCCAGCCTTCCACCCACAGGGCCCTGCAGGGCCAGTCTGAGATATGGCTCACCAAGGGCTGGCCCTGAGACCTGCACTAGCTCCTCCTCTTCTCCTCTCTCTGCCTTTCTCCCCAGATCTTTAGCAGCTGGTGCTGATTCCACCCTTAGGCAAAGATAAATGGAGTCTTGGTGGGGGGGGGGGGGCGGCTAGTGCACTGGCATCTTAACCACCCAAATGATCCCAGTACACAATTCACCCGTTCAAGGGGCTGTTTGTCTCCACCCCAGGGATCCCCTCTTCTCTCCGCCTCTGCTGCCTGTTCCTCCTCTTCCCTTACCTCTACTTCTCTCTTCCCATCTCCTAGCCCGATACCCCAACACTAATGACATAGCCCTAGAGGGGAATAATAATCAGAGCTTAACACTTATGTGTCACTTACTGTGTACCAGGCATTGTTCTAAGTGCTTTACATATTGAATCATTTCATCCTCCCAACAAGCCTATGAAAAAGCACTATTAATAACCTCATTTTATAACTCAGGATACCAAGGCACAGAGAGGTTGAGTAATTGCCCAAGGTCACACAGCTAGTATGAGGTAGGTACAAGATTTAAACGCAGGCTGCCAGGTCCCAGAGTCCGTGTTCTGAACACAACACTACCATAGTTCTCTAACAATGATAGCAGTGTGGGTAAGCTCTTAGAAACTGGCCTCCTGTGTGCTCACCCTCAAAGAGGCCCAGGCAGCATAGTGGAGCCCACCTCCACAAGGCCAGCCCCTCCACTTTCCCATGCAGCTCACCTCTCCTGCCAGCCCCAGAGCCCTGGAGCCCCTGGGCTACAGCAAAATCCAGGCAGATGCTCTCACCACTGCCCTGGTCTTCCTCAGTCTTCCTCCTAGCCTGAAGTCCATCCTCTTCTCAGGCCCAGAGGTCGGAGGCACACACCCCTCAGCTGGAGCAGGCTCACCCCAGCCTGGCCTCAGTTTTCACTCCTGCCTTTATCTTCCACAACTCCTCTGAACGTATCCTCAACTCCGGGCAAACCAGACCATTTGATAATTTCGTAAACATACCCTGTTTCCCTATATCCATGCCTCTATTTTTGCTCTCCCCTCTACCTGCAACCCCTTTCCCCGAATTCTATCTCAGATGCCACCTCCTCCATGCAGGCTTTCCTGGTCTCATAAAATCCATACATTCTGCCTTGTTTGATTCCTTAGAGTACTTAACACCCGCTGCTCCATCTATCATTATTTGTGTGTTTTCCTCTTCACCCCATTGTCAGGCAGGTCTTACTCATCTCTTTCCTGGAGCCCAGCTTAGTGCCTGGTTCCCCTCAGGTGCTCAGTAAATGCTCAGTAGTTATAATCGGTAGAAGTTAGAATTGTAGGTGGAAGGGAGACAGAACTCAGGAACCTTTGATCTCTGCCCAAGGTGAACCCCAATTACTTTACTTCCTCCAGTAAGAGCTAACTTGAAACCTGGCAGTGTGGGTTCCAGGCAGCTTCTGGGATGGAAGGACCTTCCCGGGTGACTGACCAAGGTTCTCCATTTAGGTTCAAAGCCCAAAGAGGACACCCCCCACCCCGTGCCCCATTCCACTGAACCAAGGCCCGGCTTAGGGTCCAGTCCAGCGGCCTCCCTACCCTGCCCCCTCCCCGTCCTGCCCAGCCTCTCCTGGTGCGGGTGGGGAGTGACACTGAGATAATTGGAGACCAAAACTATACGCGGTTTGAGAGCGGGCCTGGGGATCTGAACGCTGAGCCTGAGTTGGAGTTGGCAGGACTCCGTGGGGGTGGGGGGCAGAGGCGGGGCCGAGGGCCGGGCCAGGACTCGGAGACTGAGTCTGAGCGAAGCCCCCGCGCCTGCCGAGCCGGCGGCTAAATTTACCCAGGCTGACTCAGCCCTTGCCCGGAATGGGGGGTGGGGGGAGGGCATCGGGGCAATGGGAAGAGCCAGCGGGGGTGGGGTGGGGGGCAAGGAACAGAGAGTCCGGCCTGGGGGAGACAGGGGTGGGCAGGGAGTTTCCATCCAGTAAAGGAGTCTCCTCCACCGCCCACCAGGCGGGAAGGAGCGCCGGAGCCCTGGGGAAGGGACACTATGGGGAGTGGGTCGGTGAAAGGAAGAAGATGCCAAGGCTGGACAAAGGGAAGCTTAGATTTATTGAGCGCCTGCTGTGTACCAGGCACTGTGCAAGGCGCTTTACATACATTATCGCATTAAGTCCTCACAACAACCCTGCGAGGTAGGTGTTTATAAACCCCCATTTGACGGATGAGGAAACTGAGGCTCAGGGAGGTGAAGTGATTTGGCCAAGTTCACATGGCTAGTAAATAGAGACAGAAGAGGTGCCCGAGATCGAAGAAAAAAAAATACTTCAGTGTCTGGGTCCCAAGCCGTTTGGTGTGGATAGTAGTACAAAGAGGGGCTCCGCGCGCTCCAGAGGTCTGCAAGGCCAGAGGCCTGCTCCCGATCTCGCAAGACTGGAGACAGCAAGGCGGGGGACCCGCGCGCAGTAACTAGGGAGCAATTGATTAACTGGCAGTGCCGGGGTTGGAGGGACTCGCGGACTAGCTACCAGGGAAATCCGCGACCTGCGCGCGCCCCGTAGTGGCTACAGCGAGTATCACACCCCACACCTACAGGCTTTTGGGGACCAGCCTCCCTCTTCCTTCCCTGGCTGGTTTCTGGAAGAGGCAGACATGCAAGACATTCTCAGGGTTCTTTCAGATGGGTGATACCACCTGAGTGGGAAATCGTGGTAACTATTCAGAGCATCACTAAGGAACACTGGGGAGGAGGAAAAGGGGAAGGCCTAAAAAAGTCCCAAGCTGCTCAGCTCAGACCACCACAAACCAGGGACAGTGACAAGGCCACCACCCTGCACTGCCTTGGGGATCCTACGCCTAAACCTGAGACTGGAATAGGAGCCCTTGCCCACTTACTCGGCTCTTCTGCAAACACTGCACAGTCTCTTGAATTGAGAGTGAATGCAGGTGTCAAAGAAGCCACCCAGGGACGCTCAGACTCTGTTCACTTATTCCTAACTGTCTTGGCTTGGGCAGGGGAGGAGTAGATAAATGCCTCCCCAAGGACTCCAAAACATCAGGGATGGACGTTAGAACTCCCTTGTTTTACATATTACAGGGCCTGGAGAGGGGAGGCGACTTGCCGAAGGTCACCCAGCCAACCAGTGTCAGAGTTGGGATTGGAAGCCAAAACCTGTGACACCAAAGTGAGTCCTCTTCCTGCTTTGCTGGCGGCTTCTGCCAAGAGCCCCTCCTCTTCTGCCAAGGGCCTCTCCGTCACCTGGTCACCTCAGTCCGAAGCCTCTCCATCACCTTCCCCCTCCTGCCCAGAGGCCCTGCCCTGAAGTTGCCCTATGACTATCCCATCCCTGTCCTCCTGCCTTATCCTGCCTAGGCCTCTCTGCTCAGTTCCATGCCTAGTGCGTCGGCCCCTGCTGAGACCTTACCCGAGTGCCCTGAAGACCCTACCAAACGTTAAAGTCTACTGCGCACCCTCACCTCTCCTGAAAAAAAAAAAAATCATGAATTGACATATGCTCCCTTTCCTTTCATCTGTGCGCCTTCTATTTTGAGTATGGGAACGGGTATAGGTAAGAGGTACAGGGAAGTCTGTGAGGAAGAAAGGGGACACAAATACAATAAAGGGCCTCTCACTGTCGCTCCCTATTTCCCTGTGGGGTCCCCTTAGTGTCCCTCGCCCCCGAAGAGGACCTCCTCGGTTCGGCTGATGACATCTAGAATCTCTCCGATATTGTCGCTCAGCTCGGCTGCCTTCCCGCCTTCCGGGGGCCCGGTCCGCTTGTTCCGCCAGGAGGCGCCCGAGGCTTCTGTGTCGCTTCCATCAGAAGAGCTGCTATGGACGCTGAGCTCCGCAGCTTCGTCCGAGTCGGAGTCCGGGGCGGTGTGGCGGCGGATGCGAGACACGGCTTCCCGCAGGGCCCCGGCATAGGGCCCCGGGGTCCGCGCCCAGCCCCGGCCTGCGCGCCGCAGGACCGCAGCCACTTCCTCCGAGCCCTCGGCACGGCGCGCGCCTCCCGAAGCCGCTGGGCCTAAGGCTGAGTGCTCTGGGCTACCTGGCTGCGTGGGGGCATCCTGCAGGTTTACTTCGCCGACCGGGAGCCCCAAGATGCGGGAGGCGCGCTCCTCCAGTGAGGAGTCCGCGGACGTCCCGCCCTCAGCTTCGAGCCCACGTCCCCCACCGGGCTGCTGTGAAGGGCGACTGCTCAACAGCAGCTTTCGGCAAGGGGAGGGAAGGACCGCGGCCCCCTCTCCCTCCTCCTTGTTGGGCTTCAGTTGGGTGGGGGCATTCCCCACAAGGCGCGGCACCCCAGCGGGCAAAAGCTGCGCATGCTGGTTTCGAGGGGTCGGAACATACTGGGACCGTATCACCACGCAAGTGGCGTCAATGACAAAGACACCTTCCCCACGAGCCGGGCCACGGGAACTTCGTGGCAGGGTGTGGGGGCGGCGGGTCGCCTTCCAACCCTCCAAGGTCTCGGGTCCGGCCTCCTCCCTATGACCCAGGGACTCCCTCCATCCCGTGCCTCCCGGAGCCCAGGGTCTGGGGAGGGTCTGGCTATGTCGGGGAGGCTGCTTTTTAACGGAGGGCATCCAGCACTTGGGGAGCCAGCTCTGTTCTCTCCCTTCTCTCCCTTCTCTCCCTTCCCCGGAGCCCTTGGGATGGGGCCTGGACCTGGGAGCAGGACGCGGGGGGCTGGGAGTGGCAGGTGCAGACCCCGCAGGAACTGTCTCCGTGCCTGGGTTCCCAGCAGCTTTGGCTTGGGGATGTCCGTCGCTACCACTCTTCAGGCCAGCAGCAGCCAGCCTCAGGCTTCTCTCCGCGGCCACCTTACCGGACTCCAGCCTTGGCCTGGCTGTTCCACAGCTTGGGGATCCCCCCAGGAGACCCCGGCCCTGACGGAGACCCCAGGCCCCTAGGACGTCCCGGTAGATCCGAGGATCTAGCCTCTTCTTTGTGCACCCTCCCTCTGTCCTGGTCGGAGCAGAGGTTGAAGAGGCGGGCGCCTGCGAGGGCTCGGGTCCTCGCTTAGTCCCCAGGGTCCTGTGGGGGCCTTCGTAAGAGGGTGGAGCCACGTAGGGTGGCGGCCGGTCCCAGCGGCGTCGCGGGGCCATTCCGGCAGCACCTCTCAGCAGCAGGTGAGCTTCGTAGCTGGGAGGCCCTGGCCGCCGACCTCCCCAGGGCCCCGCCCACGCCGCCCCTGGATTGCTCTGCGGCTGCGCGGATGGACGGGGCGGTCGCCCCACGGACCCCAGGCGCTCCGGCCGTGAGGGAGCTGGGAGCCCTGCAGGCTGGGCCACCCGAGGGGCGTTCCGAGGCTCCGGGCGGGGCCGACCAGGGGGACTCCTTCGGGCCCCACCAGCCTTGCGCCTTTTTCGCTCAGTCTCCTTGGCCTCCCGCTCCTGCGATGCCGCTTTCCTTTTCTCTTGCTCCCGGGCTCGGGCCTCGGCCGGGGGCCCCGCCCGCCAGTTGGTCGCCTCCTGCAGCACCCTGGAGGCCCAGGGCCGGCGGGGCGGCGGCTCAGGGGATCCCAGGCGCGGCCCACACCTGGGACAATGAGCAGGAACCCAGGTGAGCAGTTTGTGGGGGAAGGGAGCCGAGGTCCGGGGAGCTGGGAGCGTTGCAGCCCACTTGGGGCCGCCTTGTGGAGGGGAGTGTGTGAGTGTGTGCGCGTGTGCACGTGCGTATATGTTAGGGTTGAAGTCGAAGCGGGACTCCTCACCATCTCTCCATACACACTTTAATAGCGTCTGCCCCATCTCACCTGCCCTTTCTCACGCCCACTCCTGTCCGCCCAAACAAACGGGATGAGTCAAGCCCCAGCCCTCGGGATGGGGTGGGGGGAGGCGTGGGAAAGAGAAGGGGGAACAGCAGGCCTGGCTGGTGCCCACGGTATGGTCCGGACCCCAATCCCTGCCCCACCACTCTCTTCCCCTTACCCCTCCTTCACTCACGTGCGGCTCTGGGGCCCGCGGGCCCAGTGGCTGGCCTGGAAGTCCATGAGCTGTCGAGGAGGGGCGCGGCGACTATAATGACAGGAAATAGTCTTCACTTCGATCACCAGCAGCTTTGATTTCTGCACCCAGAGGCAGCTGCCAGACTCCTCATCCTGGAGCTCCCGGGGGCTATCGGGCCCCTTGGAGAAGAGCTGGCCATCCAGCATCCTGCCCCACCCCACCCCGGCCCCCCACCCTCCCACCCGCCCCGAAAGCCCCCTCCCAGCCCGGGGAGCCGGCGCCCACTGCAGAGCGGCGGGCCCAGCGACTGGGGACTATATATACCCAGGCACACGTGTGTGCCTGTCTGTGTGTGTGCGCGCGCATGTGACACGGCGCGGACGGCTCCGCGCTGCTACCTCCCCCACGTGCACGACCGCCTCCTGGGGCCCGGGATTGGGCGCCCCTTCCCACTGCTCTTGTCCCCCAAGCCTGATGGGACCTGCACGAGTGGGCAGGGGATTTCTTATTCTTGCCAAGCTGACAGCGCCTGCACCCCCGCCCCCATTTCTTCAACCTTCCCGCCGTTTTAACCCTTCATTCTCCTGCTTGTCAGGGTGCCTGACCAGCAGCGTTCTGCCCCTGACTTCCTGCCTCGGACTTCGTTTTCTCCGACAGGGAGGTGATGGGAATGGAACTCAAGGTCTCCGCCTGCCACTCTCTGCTGGTTTCCATGGGGTTGGGGTGCAGGAGGGGCTGGCCCAGGCTGGGGGGGTTATTTTTAGCGGCAGTGGCGTTCGGGCGCAGAGAGGAGATGAGTAACCAGCTTCCACGCGGTGGAGGGAGGAGGCGGTGGCTTTCACGCAGCCTTTGTGCGACTCTGGGGGAGAGCTGCCTCCAAGCTCAAAAAGGGTCACCCCCCCCCCCCCACACCCTTAACTCCTTACCCTCTCAGTGCTGTGCTCAGGGCTGCTGGTGCAGCAGGACAGGAGTCTGTCTTAGCCATCGAAGCTGCCCACACTCTCATTCTAAGATGTTTGTCCTTGGGCACCCGTGGAGCCCTCTCCCTGAGGCAGGCTCTCTCCCCTAGTCCAGAAGCGAGGATTTGGGGGGTCATAATGTTCTCAGCCTGAGCTCTGCTCAGCTTTATGGAGGACAGACTAGGGTGCGTACCCACTTGCACCCTCTCAGAGGGTATAGAGGAGGAATGGCGTGCTCCCTTGGCAAAACTAATCCCCTAGCAACTGAAATGATAAAAGTGGGCCCTATTTCCCAGCGTAGATCTCTCCATCACCACTACCACAATGCCTGGCTGACTCAACCCCCACCTGAAGTGGTGCTCAAGACCATCACCTTTTAGGCTCATTCTGTCCCGGGGAGGGGGTCGTTGCTTACATCTACATGATCCCTCCCCCCAAGCCTATACCAGGTGTCCCCTGATTCACCATGGTAATGTTAGTGGCAGCACAGCCCACGCCAACCCTTCCATGCAGAGACTTAGCAACCATGCCTGGCAACCATGGCAGCAGTTCCAGTGGAGAGGAGGGGTGCGGGGAGGTGGGAGAAAAGAGTGTGTATGGCAATGGTTCCTGAAGAAGGGATAATTCGCCTCTCCTGAGAGGAACAGGTAAGAATAGAAAGATTTGAGGCTCCCAAATTTTGTCCCTTGTCTTTCTTTCTGCTCCATCCTCAGACTCTGAGACTGACTGGTTGGGTTTTTAGGGGGCAACGGGAGATGCAGATCCCCATTTGTTTTCCACCAAAGTATATGCAGCCCTTAGGCACAGACCCTTCCTTTTAAGGTGATGAGCCAGGAGGGTTGTTTTAGGACAGAGACTGACTTACTGAGAACCAGAGAAACAAAACCCAGGCCTCCTGCTCCCTAACATGGACCTTTAGAGTGAACCCAAACATCCCCTATCCCATCCAGTCGACCCCACTTTACACCTACCAGGTGCACCGATGTCTCTTTGCTTGAAGGTGCTTCCTTCCACCCAGGTCCCAACAGAGCCCTAAGGCTTTAAAAGTCCTTGCCTCCTCCCTAGACGTGATGGAATGTGACATATGGAGACATCTGTCCTCTCCACCATTCACCCACCCCCACACAAACATACCCTAATTCTAATAACTTGGAAGCCTCCCTCCCTCAAGTCTGGGTATGTGCTATGAGAGCTGTGAAGGGATGAATGCAGAAGCAGGGGCTTCTCCAAAGCCATGATGCAGCACTGAAAACTGACCTCTGACCAGTGCCCTGATGCTTCTCTGTGTTCCATCAAGAAGCCTGGTTTGGAGGAACAAGTATGGTATGGCTGGGTTCATCCGAGTTCTTAGGCACAGTGTGGGTAGGGATACACACAGGAGTTACTCTGAAGTTCTTTCAAATCTTGGATAGGAAATGGTTATCATACCTGTAAGGCAGTGGTGAGATGGTACCCAGAATTTGGTTCATAGCCAACAATCTAGCAGTCCTTACAATGCTTGGTGCTGACTACTGTTTTGGTCCACATGGTTTCAGCACAGGGAAAGGGTCTGATGGGGTGACCATAATCCTGCTGCTCCCCACCCCCCACTCGCCAGCTCATATCTACCTTGGAAGAAAGGGATTTGTGAGTTCAAAGACAGTGCCAGCTCAGCAAAATCCAAAGAGTCCCACTTTCTCTAAGAAAAGTTGAGAGTGGCAGGTCTCTCTGGCTACCTAAAGGAGATCCTCAGTCTGTGATGGGATTTTCCTTGGGTGCCAGCTATGGTCCAGGCAGAGGAGAAAGTGAGGTGGTAAGGAGACTGCAGGGAATAGTTACGAAGAGTGAATTAGAAAGGCAGTAAATCTAGTGTAGTGGTGAAGTGCATGAGCTCTAAAGTAAGACTATTTTGGCTCAAATCCTAGCTCTGCTTTTTATTAATGGTGTGGCCCTAGGCTAGTTACTTAGCCTCTCTGTGCCTCAGTTAAAAGAAAAAATAATCTGTAAAACTGAAATAGTATCTACTATTGTTCTGAGGATTAGTTGAAGTAATATATGTAAAGCACTGAGAATGGTGCCTGGCACACAGCTTTATATATATGTATGTGTGCTATTATTGTTGTTATTAATGATGAGCTGGAGAAGCCATATGAAGTAGGAAGGCTGGAGTAGTAGTGTCTATCAACTACAAAAATCAAACACTGAAATACCATGAAGAGGCTCCTGTCATTTTAATTAGGTTTGCCACAAAAAGCAATAACCTCAGCTAACCGCTCTGCCCTCCCCCTCCACCTGAGTCTCATCTCCCTTCATGTGCATACAGCACAGGAACCCAAAGGCCCTCCTCCCCATGATCCTCCCCACTCCCATTATGGGAAGAAATGCCATTAAATGGACTCAGCCTCCTCCATACAGCATGAAACAGGATGAATAAAAATATCTTTATGAAGAGTTTTGTTGTGTCCATTATCTTAGGGTGGAGTCAGGGACAGAGATAGAGGCAAAGGCTGGGTGAGGTCAGGGGATCTCTCAGAGATCAGAATTTGCCTGAGAAGCACAGAAAGGGGGCTATGTCTAAGTGGGCAGGGACCAGGCTGAAAGTTTTCCTCAAGGGTGAGGATAAGGACAGCTAAAAATCCATTCTCCTTCCTCCCCCACACCTTCCCTCACTCCCATGTAGAAGGGTAGGGAGCTCCCGGGCAGGGAACAGAGTCCCAATTCTCTAAAGTTCTCGTCTCTGGTTCCCAGAGCTTTGGGCAGGCAGTGAGTGGGGCATAACCCCTGGTGCTGCATGACCCCTTCCCCCGGCTCAGGGCTTCTCTCCGCCTGTGAGCACCAGGGCCTGCAAGATGTCAGACAGTGATACAATTCCCTTGACCACATCATTCTCATCCACCACTACAAGTCGGTGAACCTGCACAGAGCAATAAGGAAGGGAGAAAGGGATGTTTAGTGCCAGCCTCAGTTAAGGTGAGCCCTTCAGCCCCTACCCTCCATGCCAAACCGAAGCTGCTACCCCCAGCGCCTTTTGGGTTGCTGGCTCCCCTACCTCTGCTTCTACCAGCCTGTTGATGATGGTTTCCAGAGTCTCATGCAGGTAGCACTTGAGGACACCCTCAAAGTGATGCGATCGATGTTGCAGGGCTTTGGTCACTGACACATCTAGGTTGTTGTAGGTCTTTTCTGCTGCCAGATTCTGGGGAGAGAGAGAAACATTCATGCAGGGAAGCAAGGGAGCCGGCCCGCAAACTCCGAGCCCACCCAACCTCACCAGAGTGATTTAGGGTAGCTGTCAGCCATGCCCACAAGCCATACCCAGCTCATTCAATTCCTTTTCAAATAGGTGAAAGCTTGGAAGCTTCTAAAACCCTCAGGTCCCAGAAGAGACTCTCTTCTTCTCCCTCTCCACATCCAACACCCCACCCCTTTCCCTGCCTCCCAGCACCTCCACAATCACTCACGATAACATCAAACTTGGAGTAGATGTCCACCACACGCCCTAGGGGGACAGAGGCAGCTCAGCAAGGAGGATCTGGCATCCAAGGCTCCCCCTGCCTATAGAATCACCCTCCGGGCTGAGCTGAGGGGACAGCAGATTTTCCCACAGCCTCCCTGGCTTCCCTGGAGCCCTCCCTCTCCTTTTGCCCAATCTCTCACCTTTCTCATCCACCACTGGCAGGGCTGAGACTCGGTGCTGTACAAAGATGCCCAGAGCCACGTACACGGGGGTAGTAGTGCGGACCATAGCAATGTTAGCATAGGTGCCAATCTGTAGCTCTTCCAGAGACTTAGACATGAACTCTGGCTTGGGGAACTCAGTGATCTGAGGAAATAACCATCATCTTGATTTTTTTCAAGGCCCCTCAAACCACCTTTGGAGACCCCTCCGACAAGTATGTAAGAAGTAAAAACTGGGCCGAGGAGCACTTACAAACAACTTGAGGAATTTGAGGATGCGCTTGTGGGTAAGGATGTACAAGGTGTTGCCTGATTCCGGGTCAATAACTGGCAGCCTGTGGATCTTGTTTCGAATTAATGAAGAGACAGCATCAAACAAGCTGTGGGAAGGTAGGGGATAATGATAAGTTCCACAGTGCTGGGCCTGAGGGTGGTTAAATAGCTCCTTAGAGTTTGTTTATAAACAGGTGGTTGGGGGAGAGGAGCAGTGTTCAGACTAGACCTAAATAAATGTGTGTGTGTGTGTGTGTGTGTGTGTGTGTGTGTGTGTGTGTGTGT